ACCTTTTTTTCATAATTCTATGAAAAATGTCCAAATGAATGTTCATGATAACAAGATATGAATTTCAAATATTTGTTTTTATCGCTGTTTGTTCTAAAGCCTACAGTGGAACAGTAATGTTCCATATCAAATTATAAGAATATATTCTCCAGTTGTGCTAATCTACAACATCTTAAAACTTTCTAACAACGAAAACTATTGTCTAATTCGAAATCTTCAAACGTATTACCTCCAATTCAAAAAATATTTTTTTCACTTGTGCTAATCTATCACTCAGAAGAACCCTCGAAACGGCAACAAAAATAAATTGCCCAATTCGAAATCTTCAATCGTATTATCTCCAATTCTAAGTATATTCCATTCCATTGGTACTAAAAGGGTTAAGAATTCTCCAGCGAAATAATCAATGAAACATCCTCGAGCTGTCCCCCCCCCCCCCCAAAAAAAAGAAAAAACAGTAACCAACCAACCAACGAAGCTTCCAATCGATAAATACAAGTAGAATCTTATAGAGAATCTACTTTATGTCACAGAATCGAGACTATTTCTCACACCTTATTGCTCGTATGCAGCCTCCTGAGTCCGTTCACACCAGCCTTGACAATCTTCAGCATCCTCACGCCTTTAACAATCACTTCGTGGTTCATTCGAGTTGTTCACCAGGGTAGCACAATTTTTTTTCGTATGATTACGTAGCGGATTATGACAACGTGGGAGGACTTAAAGGGTAGATAGTGATTCTTTGAGTGGAGGCACGCACGTATGATCAGACGACGATGACGCGAGAGAACGCGACTCTCAACGTCCCGACACCAACGAGGTACTGCGGCACGTAAGGGCCGTCTGCCAGCAGGGAAAGCAGCCGGCGAATAGGGCACATGCGCGACTTCGACGCGGCACTGTGAAATTCACCACAGGATAGAGTGGTATTTTGTAGCTGGTGAATGAATGAAACTAATTGTCACGGAGGTTTGTCTATTTGATGATATTTTTTGAGGTCGGAAAGGATCTTGGTATGAAGGGTGTGAGAAAAAGGTTACTTTGAACGGTTACTTGTCTGAAATCTGCAAATTTGTTAATTTGCTTAAAAAAAAATGTTAATATTTATATGGAAGTAAGATTTTTAGAGAAACAGAACCAACTAATACAACACATCACATTAGCAAATATACAGGGTGAGTCACCTAAGGCTGGAAGCTGAAATATTTTCATATTTAATTAACTTGGAAAAGGCTTCAAACAAAAGTTGAACATTATATACTGCTTTTTGTAGGGTCTTCACTTATTCGCCATCATGGTCAACACATTCTTGGAACATTTGCAAAAAAAGAAATATATGCATGTATAAATTTTGCATATACGTGTTAACATTTTTTTTAAGCACTCTGTATAATACATAATTCTTAAAATCTGTAGATTACTCTTTGTCTGAAAATCTTAAAATTCCTCTAGCTATTACATATATAGAATAGTTCTTTGGAATTATCTTGGGGAATTATTTTCTTAGAGAGATTTCCCAATTGTTAATTTGAAATTCAATAGTTCGGGTAAATGGTCCTTTACATGAAACTGGTATAGAGAGAATGATTGAATTCAATATGAAACTGATATCAATCAATAATTGATTGAGAGAATTATGTGTTTTTAATATAAAAAATTTGGGGATTTGTCTTAAATATTTTTTTCTTTCCAGGGATTAATAACTGTTTTCTTTTCTTCCTGCTTCATCTAGGTCAAACGCGCCATTAAAATGGAGTACCTGAAGAATGGCGCTTGTCTGGAGAGCTGGGAACTAGGCTCTACATACTAACAAGTGCTTTTTGTTAATTTGAAAGGTAGGTCTGCAGATTAGCCTTTGTCGGAAGGGCCAGTGAAGTTCACTTTTGTCTTAATTATGACTCTTGCCTCATTTTCTAGTCTTTACATTTTGTAATTGTATTATAAACTATTAAAAATGAAATTAAAGTGGCAAATTAAAATTGCTCTCTCTTCTATTTACCTGTTCGAAATATATAACCTATTTTTTGATTTAAAAAAAGTTCAAACTTTTAGAGACACATGATTAATAAATTCAATAATAATTTCTATATAGTGAATTTAAAACATTTTTCGTTTATTGTCTTGTAGTTACTGTTTCGTAATACAATTGTACGACAATGGTGAACGGTAATAGTAAACGATGGCGAATCGTATTTCAATCCTGAGCGTGAAAACATGTATAATAAGTACAAGCTCGTGACGTTGAGTCTTACGTGAGTCTGTAATTAGTTAATTAAACATAGCTGCCCTTTAAATAAACTTAACATACTTAACGATACGAGTACAATTATACAATTGCAATACCGTGCGAAGGAAAGGAGAGATTGCAGTGAAGTTAACCTTACTAAGTTCGTAATGTTATCCAGCACTCACAGAATATGATTTTAATAATAAATCTTTCAATTTTAAAAATATTCAAGTCATATTCCCGAGAACTTGTGTATGTATATATATAAAAATAATTTCTTTTCCTTTTATAAAAATTAAAGAATTCAGAAACCAAGTGATACTACATTACACGAGTAATTTTAGCGTCCAATTTTTCAGGATATTCAGTATGTAAATAATCTTATGTTTTAGTATATTTTAAACCTATTTCACTTGGTTTCCAAGCTCAAGACACCGATTATTTATTTTTCATATTTTCCACTGCATAGTATCACAGCAGATTGACCTCTGAAAAAATTTCTCAAAAATACTCTCAAGTTTCAATATTGCTCCGATTAAGTAACCAACCTCTTTTAAACTTAACAATTAAAATTGCTAAAAATCAACACCATGTTCATCGACATTACTATTTACATTACTATTTTAACATAAAGAGTGCAACATGCTTATTATAACGTTATATCACGTTATTGATGAACCAAGCGACTCTCCAATAACCAAGAATTAAGTACTTAATTAGTTGATCGCCTAATTAAAATTAAACCTACATTGTACGACAGTCAGCGAAAGAGTTGAGGCAGTTTCACATTACACAGAAATATTACAAGTATTATCGTTAACTTACATCGATGCTTAATACTTTGGTTTCCATTTCAAACGTCCCGTCATCATCGTTATTATCATCGACGTAATCTATTTTGATTGTCCACATGAAAAAATACATCTTATTGCACTTCTAATGCATAGTGAGTTTAAACATATTTATGAATACGTTCAGTGACCAACATAATCGATTTAAAGAACAATTTTTTTTCTTAATTGGACACCGAGCGATTCATGCTCCTACAGTACTTTTCACTGTACCTGGAAGACTATGACACGAATGGCGTACACAATAAAATCTCGTTTCTTGAAAATGAAACACAGAATTTTTTTGAAGACTCGAGGTGAGAAATAGTATAAATAAGGATGATTGTTTCTTTTCTACAATGTTAATGACACGGAGCAATGATCGTAGGTTCGTATTTACAGATGAAAAACGGTTAGGTATTATAAATAATTGTGTTAATTATGTGGGATTGATTTGCAACGCGTTCACACGTAAAAACTCGCAAGACAAAGATAACCTCACGTAACATGTGCATTTCATTTTTCATACAAAAGACAGAACCTTCTTTTATCGTTTCATATTGCAACGGTGATGAAATCTTATCGACACTGATAATTATTGCGAAACACGAATTTTAATTTGTTTAAAAAAATGAGGAATCCTGAGATAAAAAGGCGGAGATTAGAATAAGTAGATCGTTACTACGAGATCGGTTAAGAATTGCAAAATTCCTCTGAAAGTTGACCAACTTTCAAGGTATCTTTTAAAACATATAACAAGATGCAAATGATTGCATTCACTGTTATGGAGTAAAACTTGATCAATCCAGGGAAGTAACAAATACTTCCTGTACCTTAACAGTAACAATTACAGAGTAAGAATACAATAATGTGCTATTAATTAGTGAAATACAGGCCCACGTTGGTGTTGGACGTTTAGTATCAATTCTCCACCTTAAGAAAAAACGTAATCAAAAAATAATAAAATTCGTCCACCTTTAGATCCTCAAAAAATACAATAACAGTATCACAATTTCAAAGTTTGAACATTAAACAACATATCACTATAACATTGTATAACTAAACATCCATCAAACACAGGCCTTCAAATTCCTCCTACCCTTTTAAATCACTGTATCCTGATAAGCAGGTGGTCCACTGAGAACAAATTGCCTCTGGCTCTGCCTGACAATATCTGTTCTATTGGGAACCTGAGGTGTAGCCCTCACCCCATGATAATTACTGTAACTGGACCTAGCACTGGCTGGTCGATTATTGTAAATCTCATCCAGATCTTCCCCATTCAAACTCTGTGTACTAGTCTGCTGAAAAGTGGGGTTACTCTGACCTTGCCATTGCATGGGACTCAATTCACTTGGCTGCCAATTGTCAGTCAAATTTCTAGTAGAACTGCTACCATCCCAATTAGGATAATTCTGATTTGTGTAGTTACTTGTATTAGAATAATTGTTAGAAGAATCCTGGTTCCATAATGTAGGAGAGGACACAGCCATGTTCACTGCTTCTGGCTGCCAGTTAGAGTTCCTATCTCTGTCCCAACTCATAGAGATTCTATCATAATTGAGCGTCCCTTGAGACAATGAATTCACATTTTGGTTGGTCAAGTTACTAGGAGTAGTATTGGCATATAGGCTCTCCTGGTGATCCATTATTCGGTTCACAGGATTTTTTCTACGAGATTGTCTCACTGAACTTCTTCTACTGGATCTCCTTGTTCCATCACGAGAGATCACTGATCTTCTTTTCACTCTACGAGGTGTCATTGGTTTTGGGGACACACTGTCATCGTGTACTGTTGGTTCTGGCTGTGAGTACTCAATGCTATACAATGGTCTTGGCTGCTTCTTCTTCCTTTTAGCTTGGGCTATGTCAGAAACAGAAGGAACTCTTGTCAGAAGGTGTAATAGGTAGGATATCTGATTAATTTGTGCCTGGATACTGATGATCTAGGTTAACCTACACCTTTAGATGAAAATTGAAGGAGTGTACAGGTAAAGTATTAAGTGAAATGGTGATTAAGTATGAGTATTCAGTGAATCATTTGTGGTAGATGATTTAAAAGTTACTATAGTGTTCAAATGTTAGGTTTTCTGTGATAGGTTCTCCAAATTTTATCAAAGTTGTTGATGGATCTTTAAAATCTCTTCCATAACATTTTATTCTGTATACCAGGCACAAACTGTAAGGTTAAACACACATTCTTGAGTCAAGTGACAAACGCAACGAATTGTTGAGCAATTAATACAAATTACCAGAGCTGCATGAATTAGAGAATCGATCATAGTGATCAGATTCTACATGCATAATGAAAAACGCGTTCTCAACTTTATAATTTTAAGACAGTAACTTTATTTTCGCATGGTTTTCGATTACCAAACCACCCAGACCCGTTAATTCCATGTTGCGTAAAAATAACTATGTAAAAACTTTAGATTTCAATAATTCAGTAAAGGAAGAACTTAACTGATAGACGAAAAAATCCCGCAAACAAAAAAACAGTTGCCCGAAAACCGCAAAAGATAGGAGAATGTTAGAGAGGAGTGAAAGAAAAGAATGGGGTTAATAAATAAAAAAGCAAGCAAGTAGTAGGCATTGCACGTTTATTGTCGCCAATGAACTGCACCAAAAAAGGTAAATCATATGATACAATAAAATAAATTATAAAACTAAAATCTACGGCCTTAACGAAGTACACAACGTCACTACTGTACAAGCTTCGACAAGGGAAACGAAAAATAAAAGAAACTTTCGATTATACTACACAACACGTTCAACGACGAATCTGAAGTGACTAAACGTATAACAATCTTAGTCATTTTTTTCCATTAAATATTTCGTTCAACTAAATTTTAAAAATGGAATAATATAAATAGATTACGTAAAATACGTAAATTTAATCGTATGTACAATGTATATGTTCAATGAGCAATTTGTGTAAAATTCATTAAGTCAAGTATGCCCAATTCAAAGTGTAAAAGATAATTAATACATAATTGTACAAATAAGTATCCTAAATAAGCATTACAACGTTTGCAAAGTATCTAATAAGAATAGTTCTTAATGTAAGACGCCTTAAGTAACGCACAGGCTATATCGTAAGTCACAAACAAGGTTAACCATAAGTTCAATCAGGTGCGATGAGAAAAAATTCTATTGTGACTACAATAGAAGTTTACGATACACCTGCGATCGTATACAGTCATGTAGCATTGAAAATTACGTAATTGTCAATGTCTATCCATCGCTGCGAAACGTTACTGTATCGTTTATTGCATGCTTTTCCTCTACACAGTTTAGCAAGTATCGCGTGCAGATTGTAATTAGTCTCTATTATTAGATCGCGTTAAATATTCATTGATCGATCATTATGTGCAGCATATGATCTTTAACATTAGCAAAGCATATCGTTTAAAGTAATGACACTTTTGTGGTCATTCATGATATCCGCTAGTGTGTCAGTGCTATCCAAAGAAAAAGGTTCTATTTCCATATTTTTTACTCATCACAACTTAATTAAACTTTGCATATTGACCTTGATCTGCAACTCACAGAACATTTAGCATAACTAAAATGCACAGTCTATCCTTTGTCACTTCAGATTTAATTTTTCACTTCTGTGTATCAGACATTCTTTAATTAATTGATCCATGGAATGTCAGAAGTAGTAAAACTCTAGGGAAGTCTGTATGGTATCTTACAATTTTTCCATTGCACGTATGCTTTAATCTATATAAGTAGTTTATTCGTTGTTCAAAAGGGAGAGAATATATTATATAAAAATTAAACATTCTGTCGAACTTAAAAACTGTAAAAACAAGTACTAGCATGCACTACCAAATACTCAGACATGTTCATTGAAATCAAAGTGTTTCGCAGCACCGTATAAACAAAAGTTTTTCACCATTGTAATTACAACAAGCTAATTTCAATGCAGTCTAAAAGGGGTTGCTATTAAAGTGCTATTCTCGTTAAGCCAGGCCACGCGTGTTGTCAGAGGAATCCTTAATAAGTACCATTCGTATAATAGAAGAACATCATTGTAAAAAATATATAGACAAAACCTACAACATTCGTGAATGTTTACAATATAGCATTTCGTGTCTCATCATGCTGTACTCTTTTCCTTTTAAAATGTAACGTTCTGTCTCATATATTTAAAAGACTCTTCTCACAAGCACAACTTTTAAAGTTACAAAACATTGATAATAACATTTTTCAAACAACATGATAGTTTATAGTTCTATATGTATCACAGTGCATGTATTTATATAAAAGATGCATGTTGTCCAACCCAACATGATCGTATATATATGTATATATAAATAAATCTATGAGCAAAATAAAAAATTCTTCATATAAAAAAGAAGAAAAAATGTATTAATATGAACACGAAAGCAAACTCGATGCTAGTGAACACACATCTATTCCACATGATCAGTCAAGAATACTTTTAAGACGTGGCAATAAGACATTAGTAATTACACGTATTACTGTGATGTTAAAAAGTGATTTAAAAAAAAAAATATCTCTAGACTAATGAAAGAAGAAATCGGAAAAAGGCACCCTAAGCTAGCTACTCTCTAATCGTTCTATCTATTTGGCAAGGATAGGAATTCTATGTTACACTCGCGAATCCTACATAGAATAGCATCGAAGAACACGTACATAACCTCAGTCCATATGCTCTTTCTTTTTACAAACTAGAATAAGAACTCCATATGTCTCTTTCACTTCTAACCGCTAAAACGAATCTAAAAATTACTGGCATATAACGACAAAGGTCTGCTGTCCCTTTTAGACCTAATCTGTTTCTCTTGTTCATTTACATTCTGTTGATTCTCGATTGCCAATCTCGGATCAGAATAAAACGATCTCAATGGTTGTTCACGAATATGATCTGTAAAGACTCTAGGCTTGTTGGAGGTTTTATTTTGTTTAGCGGCGGCGGCGGGACGAGATTTAATACGCGGCGATGCAACGGGACTATACTTAGACGAATGTGGATAGTACATTTTGTTCTTTTGATACTTTAATTTAGCGGCACTGTCCAATGAATCGTACTCGTCGTACGGAGACACGGGCCTTTGTAAATGATCCAACGGGTTCGAATAATCGTTCGAGTAGTCAACATACTTTAGATCGCGATTTGATACGTTGCTATGGTCAGTTCTGATTGTGTCGTTTCTGAAACTACATTTACTCCGTACGGAGTTGTTGTACAGCTTATCGTTATGCTTTGGGAAGCTGTTATCATGACTAACAGATTGATGAGAGCTAGCTGTGCCTGCAGGGTAATTTTGAGCGGAATTTTTGTGAGGGTGGGCAGGTGATGGAAGAGCCGAGTAGCTAACGTACATAGGATGCAACGGCGTGTGGCCTGCCAACCCAAAGTCATCACCTCCCACAAAGTCAACTGAAATATGACGTAGAATCCATTGCATTAGATTGAATTTATTGTCTGTGACGTGAACGTGGTGATACTTTTTTTTTTTTTTAATCATGATTAATTTAAATGGTGTACGATTATAATTTCATTCGATATAGCCAATGTTATGAAGTAAAATAAAATAATTTATCAATTTTGTTGTTTCAATAATTGCAATAGTAAACTGTTGTTTGCAAAAAGATACATGCTGTATCAACGATTCAGAGACGGACTCGCGATTGTTCAAGCTCCAAAAAATGTTATTTCACAGTATACATTGAACATTCTCGATAGATTCGATCAGCGATATAAGAAATCGGTGCGCATGAGAAAACCATTTTACTTCGTGCTTTATAAAAAGGAGCAAATGCGTGCAAACCATGATACAGGCAAAGCACTTACCAAAGTGGAGGATCAAATCCACCAATGAAATCAACTGTAACCGACAACCCTCTTTTCAAGCAATAATAAATCTTAAATGATGTATGATTAAAAAAAAGAAAGATAGCCAGGATGATTTACTGCAGTTCGGCTCCATTGTAAAATATGTTGTTCAGATAAATATAAAAAGATTTATCATTGCGCCATTATTTATATGAAAAATAATGAACGAAATTTTGAAAATATTCACTGAATCTCGTTTACCAATACCAACACAAATATTACCCAAACTTACCACCACATAGTGCCCCAACATAGAACTCAAAGTAATCTCACTCAGCAAACAAATTTTTAATGCTATTCTGACACTGGTAATAATTGAAACAAAAATCCTTGGGCTTTATACTTACAACTGTCATCTTCCTCCAGGAAAACTTTACTTAAACAAATACCACCAATGATTGCAATAAACTGAAACACAAGAAATATTATTTTAAATAACGTATTTAATGTAATATTGTTAGGAAATAAAGATAAGTATAATACTTACACCTAAGATGCATTGAGTAGATGCATGTAAAATTTCAACTACTTCATAATCTAGCACACAATCTGTCACATTTGTAGGTCGGGCAGGTCTGAATAATTCTGGTTCAGTAACATCATAAATAGCTTTGCAACCTGGTCCATTGACATGCCACCAAGAAAAGCTACCAGTACCAAGGTTTAAAATATCACTATTCTGAAAGATTAATTACAATGAAAATCCATTTAGAATTAAAATTACAAAATTGTGTAGAAAATTATTACTTACATTGTCCAGCACACCCACATTCAGATAGAAACATATCATGAATATATTCCACCCCAGCCATAGTGCATTCCATACACAATACTAAAATGAATTTAATAATATAAAAATATACCCAACTCATTTCTTGCATGTAGAGTTATTAAAATGAAATTGATGATTTCACTTACTGATATGATATATTTAGGTCTATATTGAAAGGCCCCAAAAAATCCTAAGATTACAAATATAATATTGAAGAAATTGACCAGTATCGGAGCCCACATAAAGCCCAGAAAGTCGAAGACCTGGCGCTCTATGGTAGTGATCTACAAAGCAAGAGAAACAGTACCAATTAAATTCAATAAAACATCAAATAAGTCAGTGTCTTAACATTAATTTTCTTAATGTCTTCCAACTCCTTTTTGTGCACATTCTTAATCTGTACCAATTGCCCTGTGTTCTAAATACCCAATTAATCAGCTGCTCTGAATGAGAGCCAGTGTTCATGAACCGTTTAACATGCCCTCTTACTTTCAAACAAACCATTCATTTTAAATAACAACCCACAATTCACTGCTTCTATTTTTATCAATTCAGACAATTTGCCAATGACATTGGAACAAACAATTTCATTTCCTTCGCAACAATCGCATATTTTAATTTACAAATTGCATTTTCGTGATATAATACAGAACTCCGCCATCGACGCCAATTAACAAGAAAGCGTTAGAAAGTGGGAAAAGCGGCGGCAAATGGATCGCCCAGTTTCTACTCAGGGATCTCTGTTCCACGAAGATAAACCACGCGACCTGTGAATCGATAAAGCGATACGATAATCGACCAAGTGCGTACAGTGTTCCGTTGTGTTATCGTCGACAAAATCGTTTCAATCAACAGTATCAATTTACCAAATTAACAAACGAGAAACACATGTACGGAACCACAAGAAGAAAATAAAAATCCTCCTTTCGAATAGGTTGAATTCACCAAGAAAATCAAGCTGTGTGACTCAGTCGCGGAAAAACGCGAATCATCACACAGGATGACGAAAGGTTCAATAGCGGGGAATAGAACATTTAATCCATCGGCAAAACTCACGAGTTGTAGGACGCATATTGTCAGCAGAAAATGCCTTCGATTACAAATTCCCATGTCATTTGGCCAAACGAGTGTTTAGCGTTGCGGGGCCACGATCTCTTTGGTCACTCAAGGTGGACGATCTCGCTGCGCGTACGCTGCATCACTGTGGCACGTTCCAATGCGCCGCCATGTTCTCTCGACACTTGTTCCGTCCCTTTCTCGCGGCCGACTGGTGCAAGTGGCGTGTGCACTCGCCTCACGATAGGTACGATTTCGTAGCCGAGCAACCTGCCCACGGTCCGTTCGAATAGATCGTTCCACTGGAAGCCGATATTCGAGCGCGTTTCCCACTTCGCCGCTTTGTTCTTACGCGGTAGTCCCCACTATTGTGTGGCGGGAGATACGTTCCGTGTTTTATGAATTTATCGTTGTACGAACTTGAACGTTACAGGAGCTTTGGAGATAAAAACTGTTATCGTAAACCTGTGTAAGACAATTGTAAAATATTTTAATTTTAGATCAATGTATTGAAAAGTATATCAAACTGCATGAAAGTTCGTGCATAATACATAACATCATTGGGAGTGTAGTTCTCATTACGTCTAACCTTAACGATGAATTCTAATGGCAGAGACATATCAGGTAGGAGAATATACAGGGTGTCTGTTTTAACTGGACACGGTGGAATATCTCATAAGGAACGGAAGGTATCAAAGAAATGTTCTTGGAAAAATTGTTTGGTATGGAGGGGTACATTATGTAGTATAAACAGTTTTTCTGTAGATGAAGCAATGAGAAAGATTTCAAGTTTAAGTTAATTTCTTTTAATAGAACGTTATATTTTTTTATTCATAATATGATAGAGTTTGTTGAAACAAATTTAAAAAGCTTCCATACTAAGTCATTTCGTTTTATGAAAATTGTAAAATAGTGAATTATTAACCCTTTGAGTGTTTAGTCCATACGTCGTACGGGCAACCCGGAATATTTAAAATTTAATTTGTAAGAGGTTCAGACAGGACATAACATTGTAAAGGCCAGGAAAGGAATGCATTCATAGTTCCTTGAAATTATTAAAAATTAGATAAGAAAAATAAAAACGCATTTCCACATTATTCACAAATAATTTAAGTAAAAAAAATTTGCACTTTTTAACCACATTTTAACAAATACTCAAAAAGTTAAAAGAAGAAAATTTTATGGTATAAAGGGGATTATTTGTGTTTTTTATTTCAATATGTGGTACAGAATGTATTATGAATTTGTGAATGGCGGTAAGCGTAACCTGTTTGCATATCACGCATTATAGTACATACAAATACGTGCAAGACGATGATTGAAATAACATATTTTTGAGATTACTAAAATAATTCAAGCGTATGAAATTACAATTTGGAAGTAATGATATTTGTATTTAGTCGTATTTAGTGAACAAAGGGAGGAAAGATGAAGCGGAAAATGGACAAAAATCATGGTAATAGAAAGAAGACCAACGGAGTTTTTCGACTCTGCTTCTCTCAAAACTTCACAAATGCACTTAAAATCTCGCATATACGAAAGTGGAAGTCTTGGGAACACGTTCCAATACTTTCTGGCCGAATCGGATCGCGTACCACCATGAGAGGAATGATGAAGCGGAAAATGAGCAAAAATCACGGTAATAGAATGAAGACCAACGGAGTTTTTCGACTCTGGTTCTCTCAAAACTCCACAAATGCACTTAAAATCTCGCATATACAAAAGTGGAAGTCTTGGGAACACGTTCCAATACTTTCTGGCCGAATCTTCTACCGTCTTCAGTTTCATCATGGGGGTAGGTGTCGGATGACTACGCGTTTAGCAATCATTTCACTTTCTTCTTTCCTATTTCTTTTCCTACCTTATTTGTTCCAAAATCATACTTCCCTCTATCGTGACTCACCGGCGAACCGTGATCTTTACTCATTCACGCTAAGGTAACGTATCTATGGCTACTAATTACTACAAAGAACGCCATCCAAATCGCCGTCATCCTGACAGAAGAACTATTCAAAGAGCCAAACGAACACTTGCGGAACATGAATCTTTTGATCCGCTCCGTCGACATGGTGGTCGTTTTCGACAAATTAAAAGAAACGTAGAGGGACAAATTTTACAAAGTGTGGAAGAACTTGCCTTGTGTTCAAGACAACTTGCCTCTAGACACGGTGTTTGTGTAAAAACGGTTTCTCGAATATTACGTGAAAATGAATTTCACACTTATCACATCTGTCGTGTAACAAATTAATTCAAGAAAATGTATTAACATTTAGCTGGAAAAATTAGCTAAAATATGCTATCTTTTAATATATTATGTAGACAAATGGATTTTTCGTAAAATAGTTTACACCATCGAATTCGTCGTTAAAAGATACTAATTTCATCAATTTACACAATTACTCTATCTCTAGTAGTTACCGAGGTATTCGTCGAAATACGTTTCGCAGCCTCAACTTTGGGGGTGGTTTTCACCCCTTTAACGCTAGGTTTACGGGACCCGTCAATTTGACGGGTTTCAGACTTCATGAGCAAAATTACAAAAACCATTACTATTATTTCCTTGCAATTTTTGCTGACTTTTATTCATGGAATGATACGAATATATACCCAAATCTATTTCCCTCTCAGCTCTGTAATTTCAAAATTCTGTATAATGTATACAATTTCTCCGGATACCCGTCAAATTAACGGGTCGGCTAATTTCATAATTAATCGTAATAAACCGGCTTTATTCATGAAATATATTTCTCCGGTAAGAAATCTAAAAGTAATCAGAAAGTAGATACTAAATTGTTCTGCGGACCACCCGCGGAATGTCATTAAAAACCAACCGATTTTATTTTCACCCAGTCTAAGCATTTGTTCCATAGCGGCTAGCAATCTGGACAAAGGAAGAAACATCCGGCGTGCAGATGGCTAGCACCATTTCATAAGATACAAGCTAGAAAGCTGTTTTTGAGAATGTCTCTTTATTCATTAATCCCTTAAGGAATAGTTTCTTTTTCCTAAACGTCGTTTACGACCTCAACAGATAATTGTACGTGTCACAAAACGTGAGTTTCTAAAGGGCTTCGGGATCTGTCCCAGCAGCCCCTACCTGGGCACGCCGCGAGTCCCAGGGCTGGCGGAAATTCCTGTTGTGGTTTCAAATGCTTAATGAAACATATGCATGTACTTACCCAGTTTATAACTATAGGAATGAAGCCTAAAATTACTTATCGATAAAAATATTAAAAAAAAATGCTGTGAAGTAACAATATACATTTATTAAGAAAATTTATTTTTTACTCATCAATCGGTACCGCTACACCATAAGTTTGTTTACTCCTCGAACCGATGGTTCGAATAATCGACGGTTCGGATAACTGACGCTCTACTGTAGTTCAAAGATCGACAATTTTTCGACCAAAATTTAGTGATCCTTTAATGTTTGGGAGTACATAGTGTGTGTATGTTACAAACTTTGTAACTGATTTCCCGTATATTTCATTATATGCACAGAAAAAATTTACAAAGATACCTATGATTTTCGGACGGTCATGGTAGGCTAACCCTTAAAGCTTCGTTTTTCAATTATTAGTATTTAAAAATATCCCTATGTTTGAGCAAACCTCCCTGCATCTGTACAGTAACCCTCCGAGTTACGTAAAACACACAACTCATGTAAATTCGCAGTTACGTAATAAATCTCGAAAATTACAGAAACGAAAATTCTGAAAACGACTAGTGCATATTTTAGTTTGTTTGTATATTCTTTTACATATTTTTCATACTTTTATATACATACATATAATAATAATAAATATTGCAGTTTATTATACACTTAAGTAATTTACAAATTTGACTTCCGTAAAATTGGAATTACGTAAAGGTTTACGGAACGCATCTTACGGAACTCGGAGAATTGCTGTATAGGGCGCGTTAAGACACAGGAAACGCAGCGATTCTCGAAACAAATGACACATGGCCAACAGCTTATCTCGTACAAGTTATAAAGAAGAAAGCAGTGACATTCGGCGTCGTAAACGACATTGCCGACATCTGTGGCACTGCTGCTTACTTCACTACTGCACTGTATACTGCACTGTATACGGACCATACTTCATTACCGGAACAATGACACGACAAAAATATTCTCAATTTTTGCAAGAAGATCTACCAATTTTGTTGGAAGATGTCCCTTTACAAAACCGCTATGATATGTGGTATCAACATGTGGTATCAACTGTCCTGCCTATTATGCACAAGTAGCAAGAGAAACATTGGATTCTAGGTTTCCAAACCGATGGATTGGATGAGGTGGAACTGTCTCATGGCCAGCACGTTCGCCTGATTTAAATTCACTGGATTTCTTGTTGTGGGGTCTACTAAAAGAGACCGTGTACATGAATGCTCCAACAACAATTGAAGATATGCATCAGCGTATCATCACAGCATATGCGAATATCACCTCAGATGTATTTGTCAGAGTTCAACATTCCTTCAGACTCCGTTTACTGCTTTCATATTTTAGATCTTATACTTTTTCTCTGTTCGTGACCTTGAATAATTATAGTCACTGAATTCCTAATGAAAGGGACTATTATTGTAGGTGTTTAAAAAAGGGTGGTTCCATTTAAAAAAATGAAGGTGACCTTGATATCTTTAAAAAAAATGACAAAAACAAAAATATTTTTGGCATCGTGTGAGCCCCATTGAACCATTCAACTTTGTCCTTAAGACATTTGACGTATCTTTAAAAATAACAAAGATATTTGAGGTGCAAACGTTTGGTGACTGACCCTACGTTATATTTACGTTATTGCGACTATTCCTTTTCTTGGTGTTTCTTGAAGAATTTTGCCAGTTATAAGATCGTATCCAGATGCTTTTTTTTATCATTGAACAATCTTATCTCTTCTGCTACTTCCTTGGGACTGAAGTGCTTGATTAGTTTATTGAGTTGCAAAGGGGTGCTGAGATGTTCAGCAATAGCAATACAATAAAATAAACATGATAAAAAATAAATGGTCTATTTCAGCCATAAAACCATTTAGTTGCAAGCTTCCCAAATTACTCTGTTAAAAATAATTTGATTACAGTTATGTTCATTTTTATCAGAATAAACTCTATATATTTAAAATTTTTTTAAATAAATTTTACACTTTCTTACCCTATAAATCTTCTGAACTACTACTGCTTTCGTCAGAATCATTTTCAGACTCACTACTTTGAATTTCTAAGTCCATATTTTCAATTGCATTCTCCAATAATTCGTCTTTCA